ATGAGGGTAGATGATGTGGCTGCCTTGGACGAGAAAGGGTGAGAAAGCCTGCCCTGTGTGTTGGGCAGGTGACCTCCAGGAGGGTGTGTGAACTCAGAGGACTTCCTGCCACACAGGTATCCCACTGCGACTGTACCATATGAGATGTGGCAGAAGAACATCTCCCGCAGGAGTCAGGGAAGCTGCCTGGTGCAGATTAGTCTTAGCAACCCTAACAAGTGAAAGTCAAGGGAGCTCAGGCACAGGTGCATGGAGGAGTTGCTATTTGTTAAATTGCTACTTGTTGATCCATTGCAGCCAATCAGTTCTCTGTATCTGTGATTTTGCTTTGATCAAAAGATGAACCAGTACCTATAATTTAAACCACTATCTAGTGCTCTTTCTAAGATCCCAAAAAGCTAGATGAGAAGGTGGGAGAGAATAGAGAGGGATACAGAGATGCACTCAGAAGTATTTGTTTTCCTTTAATATCTACATAGGCCTATTAATGTGAGTTCAAGCAAGAAATGAAGAGTAATGCCCAAAGGAGCTGCAGAGATCACAAAATTTGGAGGGTGTAAAATATAATTCCTGACCCTTAGAAATAAATTTCACTCCACAGCAACAAAGTTTAAGAATCTGTGGGTCCAAAAAGCAACTGGTCTCCTAAACACAATGCTCGTTGAGAACCATGAAGTCTGCTTTGAAATGAATCTTGCTGTATTCTAGCAGATTAGACTATTGTGACTAGAGTTTTCATTATCTACTATTCTTAATGTTTATGGTTACATGGGATGAATCAAAAATTAAGGGAGAAAACATACTTTAGGGTCTATTAAAAGTTATTTATATCCATGTTGAAATTGATAGCTTCCATAAATGCTGGTATTTCTGAATGTACTTTTATAGCTGATGGAGTATTTAATATGTTATTAATCACATGCACTAATAGAGCCTGTATGTCCTCACCCACCTACCCTTTCATGCAGGTACGAGGCAAAAGAATATTATGAGGCACTTCCAGAACTGAAGCTGGTCATTGATCAAATTGACAATGGCTTTTTTTCTCCCAAGCAACCTGACCTCTTCAAAGATATCATCAACATGCTATTTTACCATGACAGGTGAGTTCCCATGAGAAATTGGTATGGTCTGGGCTGTGAAAAGGGAACAAAAACATTTTAAACCAATGATAATCCACCCACTTAGATTACCATAGATCTGTGATCTGGTCAGCAAACCTGATCTTGGGAAAGAGAGTTAATCTCCATCAACAATGCCACTAAGGTTTAAGAATGAAACTCTCAAGAAAATGCATAGATCTTGAGACCATAATGCTAAGTGAAATAAATCAGACACAGAAGGTTAAATATTGCATAGTTTCTCTGACATGAGAAACCCAAAGATAAAAATAATTTAAAGAGCAAAAGAAAATAGAGATGGTAGGAAACAGAGAGGTAGACTTTGTGGAGATGGGAAGAGGGGAGAGAAGAGAAGGAAAGTTAAAATGATCAAGATATAAATGTAATGTACTAATTCCCCAAGACAAATGTAATTATTATGTATCACAAACATATACTGATAATTTTTTAGAAGGATAAAACCCTCAAATCTGTGTTCTTTTTCTCTTTCCACTGATATGCTCAACTTTCAAGTGCATCCATATGATGACATTTTTACATGTGGGAAGAACCACAGAAAAAGTAGAGGGCTGATGAACATTTTTATGAACAGAAATAGGAGTTTTTGGTAAAGTAGTCATGCTGACATTAAGCAAGAGAATTTTCAGTGGAATTTTAGCATGCATCTGTTAATGGAGCTTTTTGCTCTTTTGCTTTTTCCTTCCAATCATAAAAAAATAGGTTTAAAGTCTTTGCAGATTATGAAGCCTATGTCAAATGTCAAGAAAAAGTCAGTCAGCTGTACATGGTGAGTAACTTGCAGAGATTTGTAAAAGAACTCAGTTTAGCTAATCAAATTTCTTTTTTATTAAATCTAAATAGTAGGGCCCCCCTCACTATTGGAAAGGGGACAGGATGGGATGAAGATACAGCTCAGCGGATACTGCACATGCCTAGCAGGTGCAAGGCCCTGCATCCCATCCCCAGGACCACAAAGAAAAAGAAGTGAGGCAACTTTCCAGGATACTTAGATCAAAACATGACTTTCCCAAGTTTAAGCAGAGGCTGGGGTTTGAGATTTCTATAGCAATTGTAAATTTTTTAATATCCAAGTTAAAAAAATCACAAGTGATTCATTATTTCTTGAGGACCTACCATACAGGATGCACATCCTGGCAGCTCAGGATATAAAGCCTCATACAGGCGGAGGAGCCTTAGGCACCATTCACTGAGAGCACAGCATGGCCAAAGCCCCCTTCCCCCAGTGAGCCCGTAACACTGGGGTTGTCAACCAGAAGAGAGCATCTCCATCTCCGGGAGGGCAGCTGCTGCAAGGTACAAAGATGCTGCCGACCTTCTCCCCACAGAGATTCTGACTCAGTAACAGTGGGATCCACCATCAGAGTTTGAAAACCATGCCAGGGTGTTTCTAAGGCTGAGCCTTAGTTTACTGGGATAAGGACCCACTTCCCCAGTCTTTGAACCCTGCAAAAGAAGAACCTCTCCTGGACTACTCATGGAGTTGTGCTCTGTGAGTAGAACATAAATGTATAGAAAGAGGAGAACTTTATGCTTGAATTTTTTAAAAAAGAAAAAAAAAAGACTACACTATGTGAAAAAAAATTTAAAGGCTAGAGCTGTGTGAATAAGCCTTCACAGGCAAAGTTACACGTCTTTATCCAGTAGCCCTCTAGGTATAAAGAGGTTTGGAAGGTTGATCTTTTCTGACAGGAGCGACTTTTAGTGCATCGCAGGAATCCCAGAGCAGGGGATACAGGAGGCGGGCTCTGTGCTGAGGCTGTGGGGAGGCCCCACTCGTATTTCCTTCTAGTCTTTCCCAAGACAAGTGACAGGCGGTCCCCACGGTCACCCCCAATGTCCCATGGGGGTTGTAAAATAGGACTGTTCAAGGCCTGTGCTACTTTCCAGCCCTTTCTTTCTGTGTGAATCGCCAGTGCCCCGAGTCTCTATAGACGCAGTACAGTGAGTCCAAGCTAATGGCTGTGAAAACATGGAGCAGGGGGAGAGCTAACCAAAGGGGCACACACAGCCCCCATGAACTCAAAGTCGGAGGAAAGAGAAGGGCCACCTCAAGAAATGTAAACAAAACAAGGCAGGAAAGGAAATTATGAACAAGGACAAATTTACCTGTCAATTCACACAGTGCATGTCCTCTGTAAACCGTGGCTGAGGTCCGGAGAATGCCCATTTACATGCCCATCATTTGACCCAGTCCTGCTTGCTCATTAGTGCAAATTGCAATTTCCCACTCTTCACAATAATTGTCTCGTTGACACTTAGTGAACATGACCTGCATAGCTGGACTAGAGGACTAAAGGGAAGAGCAGAAGCGCTCATTTGCTTTTACTCTAATATAATAAGTTTGCAAGGCCTGACTAAATATAATTTCGGGCTCTGTTTTATAGTATCTTGAAGTATGATAATAGTTTTAGTCTTTGTTTTAAATGCTTATATGCACTGGTAAACAAGTTTGAATAATATCCAGTAAACATTCAGAGTTTTGGGGGCAGGGATTGTTTTGTTTTATTTTTTTCGGTGTTTTGGGACAGGGTCTCACTATGTAGCCCAGGCTGGCCTTGAACTCATGGGGATCCTCCTGCCTCAGGCTTCCAAATGCTGGGATTATAAGTGTGTGCCACCATACCTGACTCAACATGGTTTACAAAGTATGAGGCTATAAATTAAATCTTTTTGTAATCTCTTTTATATGAAATTTTGAGATTGTATTTTTAAGGATAAAGCTTTAACTCACCCTGTTTTGAAACCCCAGTGGAGTCTCTGGACGCAGTATTGACCTACTGGGGCATGTACCTTTAGAGAGCACAAAAACAGCTAAGTGGGCCAGCACAGCCTTTCATCGAACTGGCTACTGGCATTACACTCACAGCGGACATTCAAGGGCAGTGTTTTGAAGCTGTGGGAACAGCACGTTAAATCTCTTGACATGGCACATTGCATAGCATGAATATTTGTCTCCTCCTTCTCCATAGTAAAGAGAATGCCTCACCCATAATAAAGCATGAGAAATACAGCATTCATCACAAAACACTGTAACCACAGCAGGAATTACCAGTTAGAGAATTTATATCCATGCTTTCTCTTAAAATGAAAAATGCTATTTTCATTCCTAAGAGAAATATCCTCTAAATATGAGACAAATGCAGCCTGCCCCTACCTGTCCATCACCTGTGGAGGGAATCTATTTATAACTCACTAGAGTTCTGTCGTTTCCCTATGAAATGGACTTGATCTGATATTTGTCATCAAGCTTGCTGGCCACTCAAGCCCTTGGCTGTGTGTGCATATGTTTTTTACAGAATCCAAAAGCCTGGAACAGGATGGTGCTCAAAAACATAGCTGCCTCGGGGAAATTCTCCAGCGACCGGACAATTAAGGAATATGCCCGGGACATCTGGAACATGGAGCCTTCGGATCTAAAGATTTCCCTGTCCAATGAATCTAGCAATAGGGTCAGCAAGGTCAAAGGAATTGAACTGTAAACTGTCCCTAGAAAATATAACTTCTTATTGAACTTGAACATTTTTACAACATTGATTTTTGTCTTGCGTTTCATTAGCTAATATTAGTTAAGTATCTCTAGGAATGGGAAAGTACATGACTTATTTAGGGCTAAAAATAAAATGTCAATTTCCAAGGACTGCATGAGTGCCAGAACTTATTACTTGATAAGTGATCAATAGCCTGCTAGGACTCTCCCTAAAACTAATTAGAAAGCTAGAAAACTGCCTGGAATTTTTTAATGCCATTTAAATGAACTAAACTAAAATAGAAATTCTTTAACCACATTCTCACACTGCTGTCTTAAGTCAAACCAAAGGCCACCGTCTTAGTCCATTCAAGCTTCTATAAGGCTGTAAATTGGATAACATGTAAACAACAGAAATTTTATTTCCCACAGTTCGGGAGATGAAAAGTCTAAGATCAGGAGCCGGGCAGATTCGGTGTGTGGTAAGAGGCAGTGCTGGTTCAAGTGCTGGGGCCTTCTCACTGTGTCCTCGGCGGGGGAAGAGGGAGAGCTTCCTGAGAGGCCTATTTCACCCATCCTATTCACGAGAGGCCTCAGGACCTCACATCTCCCAAAGGCTTTACCTCCTAAAACCATTCCATTGATGAGTCGGTCTCAGCGTGTGAATTTAGGGGCAGACACAGACACCAAGCCATAGCAACCAACTTACTCCCAGAATGTCTGTTGACCATATATTTTAGATAGGATCCAAATTTTACCAAGTTCTGATTCTCCACACTCCACAACACCCAGCATCTATGCTTTCCTTATTAAAATGACAAGTGACTTGTGGAAACATGCAGGCTTTCAGCTCCTCTAAGCAGCCTCGTTCAGTTTCACAGAGAGAAAGTCTACCTCACAGGTCTTCAGCTGAAGATTCATGCTGCTCTCTGACCTCACGCCCACTGCTTGCTCAGGAAATCTCTGCAAAAAAATGGACCCAGATCAGCTCATGCTTCCTCCTGCTCTTGGTCTGAGTAAACCAAAGCAGCCCAAATTCCCTTTACATGTAGCAAAGCAGTTCTTACCTCACGACTTTCACAAACATGGGGCTTTTACAAAGATAGTTGTGGTGGAAGCCAGGAGGAAAGATAACCATCTCGACCCTCTCCTTATTCCTGTAGGCAGCACGTGCAATTTCATAGAGCTGTAAGAGATGGAAAGGCAGGGTCTCAAGGCTGGCAATTCGAAGCTCTAGGTCTACTATAATTTTCCGAAAAGATATCGAAACAATCAATTTGGAGAGTTCATCTGAGTCAGACATGGAACGCTCCACGCCCCCTAGTGGCTGTCTGTCCAGCTGCGGCACAGAACGCTCATAGTTACTACAGAATTCGGACAAATCCTTGTCCTTCCACTGCGGGTACCTGGCTGCAAAGTGGCAAGGGATGTCGCGGGCCACTGTAGTACAGGTTTGTCTAAAGGGGGAAACCCATCCGCATTTGTAGAGCTGCTACAGTACAGACCACATGGAGGTTCCCACAACAAGCCGGGATCGTCTCTCCACCTGGACAGCCCCAGACAAGTGGCTGAGTGCCCTAAAACACTCCCCTGGGCTCAGTGGCCAACTGACACTCGCTGTGTAAACCAGGCTACTTAGGGGCATGGAGAATGCCTTATAATATCAGATCCTCTGTTGTGGACCAGAGGAGAACTGAGGCCTAACTGGCCTCCTCTGTGAGCACAATGGAGAAAGGCTGCATTTTAGGGAAAAGTTCAGACAGCTGAGGTTAAGTTCTTTACCAGAGCATGTACTGATGGGTACTAGGAAGCAGATGAATCCTGTGTTACCGTGACTGCTTGTGCCCATGTGTGGGTGAATAAAAGCGAGGTGAGCCGAAGGCGCGGGCTCCTCTGCCTACTAGAGGTGAGAGCCCCCTAGCTGCCCGCACACGTGTTAAGATGACTCCGTGTCTCTGTCATTCACCCTCATTCACCCCCTGACCCCCCCACCCCCATCAGGGAGGAACAAAGTAGCAGCTCTAGGTCCCAGAGCAAGGCCAGTAAGAGAGTTGGCATCAGGTGGTGTCCAGCATGGGGTTGGCCCAGGTCGGAGTCTGTCTGCCATCTTCTATTAAGCTCTAATCAAAATTCAGCTGGATTTTTTAAAAGGTACAATAAGCATAGGGTGCTTCCGTCAGTCCTGAGCTCTTAGTTTACCTTTTCTCCATCTTCTATAGGCACTGTTCTGTCATCCTCTCCATGTATGATGAGAAGCGGGGAAGACAAGAATTTAACACTAGGGACAAGTGGGAAAAAAGCATTCAGTTTCAGAGCTGTACCTTGAGATTTAAATGACAGCGTTAGCAAAACATGAGGTTTGCCCAAAACACACAAAAAATCTCTTTCCTTGCAAGGAATGACAATTTCATACATAGACAACTTCATGTAATATTTCTTCTCAAGTTTCCCTCTATTCTATTTGTGAATACAGTGCAATCAAGTATTTGGTTTAATTTTATGTGGTATTTGAAAATTTCAGAGAACATTGAAACAGAATTTGCACACTGTACCTTATTTTTTATAAAAATAAGACATGACTCTTTTCTGACTTCACCTTGTTGTGTAAAACCTGAAATATTTTAATTGAAAGGCCACAGAAGGCCAGACATAGTGGCACAGGCCTGTAATCCCAGCATTCTGGGAGGCTGAGGCAGGAGGATTACAAGTTGGAGCCCAGTCTGGGCAACTCAGTGACTTAGGGTGACCCTGTCTCAAAATAAGAAAAAAAGGACTAGTAACGTAGCTCAGTCCAAAAGTCCTGCATTCAAAAAGTCTGAAAAACAAAGTAACTCCAAACCCCCAAATAACAAAAACGACCCCAAAACCAAGAAGATCTTTTTGTAGCAATTTATTTTTCCCCATTGCAAGTAGAGGATAGATATGCAATTACTAGTTTTCATTAGCTTCCAGTCAGCCTCCCAGTTTAGTAATTCAAAAAGGCTGTAGCATGAAGAATGACATCTCTCTGTCCAGTGACTTTCTCAAACAGTCCTTCCTTGTCCTTCTAAACTCCGATTCCCAGCCATCCCTGCCACAGTGACTCAATGTTGCTGCTGGCAATGTTGGATTTCCTCAGTGTGTTATGACAACTGCCTATTTGGAAGCATTCTTAAAATATGCTCCGTGAGAGGCCAACTTGCCTAATGTTGGTCGCTGGACTCGCTGTCAAGTTAAGAGGCTGGGTATTAAGTGGGTTTGGGTTACATAGGGAATTTGGCCTAGAAGTCAGGGCTCCCTTAAGGATTACTGGACTAGACCATAGGCCAAAAATAGACAACTCTCTTTATGACTTCAAAGAGAAGGCTGAATTGATAAAGGCATCAAAGTAGATATAAGGAAAACAGAAATACTGAACATTTGTATGAACTGTATTCCAAAACCTACTGCCCATCTATATATGCCAAAATGATATCTTAGCATGCCATATTCTAGTGATTCTGACTTCTCATCATCTAATAAGTCACATGGTAGTTAACCTTAGATTCCTATAGAATAGCAGACATTCTTCATCATTAGCTTACTTTTCATCATTGGCAAAGACTATTCTGTCTTCTTTTAGGGATTCTGTAAGTGTCTGTAAACATCTTGGAAACTTCTGGCAAATCTATTTTTTAAAAAGAAAAAGAAAACCATTAATATCTTACCCACAGCTGTTCCACTTGTCTCTCACTGTGAACCATGCTAACAAGTGATTTTCTAAATATAAAAAACTTTCCAAAATATTTATGATTTTAAAATGTAATTCATGCTATTTTGGGGAAATTTAGAGAAAAAAAAAATCCAGCAAGGAACAAAGAAATAAGTCACACATTTTCCTACCATTCTAGAGAAGCCCAGGTAACCCTTGGCTTTTACTTCCTGTCTTGTTTTAACACACAAAGTACATCACAGACCCTTACTCCTCTCTGCTCATAAAGAAGCAGTGATATGTAAAACCTAAGATTTGTTTCTACTATAAACATAATTAACTAGTAGGAAGAAGATTCTGATTTGTCAAAAATTCTGGTAGAAGTATGCAATACCTAGATAATTGGTTTGAGAAAATTGGAACAGGAGAAACTATTGAATGTGATTTAATATAATAATACTTTAAAAGACATTTCAGATTTTGACAATGACCACAGGGCTCCGAGTACAACATGTACCACTCTACAGATGCTGAATTTCTTCTGTAACAGCAAAGTCCAGTAAATACAAGGCTATCCACATCTGCTTTTTGGATATTTTGAATAAATTAGTTCACACGCCCTAAAAAATCCATTTCAACTGAAAGGAAGCATAAAGGACAGAAACGCCAAGCAGTGGGCCCCTTCTTCTGGCCTTTGGCCCCCACCTTCACTGTGTGCCCCACACCCACTCCTTTCCATCTGCACTCTGGCCCCGCCTAGGACATCGACATCCCTTTGGACGCTGCCAGCCATCCCAAGGGGCTCCCTGTCTCCACCCTTGCACTCCATAATCCCTTTCCCATGGGGACACGGAGTGATTGCTTCAACCTGCAAACCAGATCTTGCTCAGCACGGTCCAAAGGCACTTGGATCACATCAAGCGCATCTCCTTGGCCTTGAAGCCTCTGCAGAACCAGTGGCCACCTCATCCCTGCCATTGAGCCCCCTCCTGCCTCCTGTCCACCTTCAGGCTTCACTGCCTCTGCTTCCAGAACATGCCAAGCTTGCAAGGCCTCACCTTTGCTTTTCTCTAAGACCCCTGAATTTTGCCAACATAGCTGGCTTCTTATAATGCAAGTCTCAGCCCAGAGGGTATTTCTTCAGAGGTTTTTTTCCCAGGTGGCTATTAAACCTTGACCTCCACCACTCAGCCACTCTCATATTATTTTATTGCTTTTGCAGCACTATTGGGTATTTTCATTTTTTTCGTTTTTGGTACCAGGGATCGAACTCAGGTCCTTGCGCTTGTGCAGCACGCGGCAAAACCACTGAACTAAATCTCCGGCCCCTATTGGGTATTTTCTTATTGTGTATTTCTGTCTGTTTCATAAAAAGAAAAATCAGAAATGTCTTTTTCTCTGTGATATCCCCAGAACCTAGGAAATGTTTTGGTACGTGATAGGCATTCAATAAATATTTGCTAAAGAAAGGATGGATCTATTATGTGAGTGTCCCTGGTGTACACTTTAGCCATTATCTGTCAATTTCATCTTGGTGTGCCTGAGCTTCAGCTTTTATATCTTAAAATACACTGGCAAAGAGGAAAGACCAGCAAAGAATTAAACATATTCCTTCATTGTACTTGAGAGGGTGGGATGAAAGGCGCTATGATGGAGTAAAAGGCTTAACACCAAGAAAGGGAAATAAGTGCAGAATTGATAGGCCAGGGCTGACCAACAAAACCTTCAGCCTCATCATTTTTTAAAAAGAGAAATAAATCATTAAAATTTGCCCCCAGGCTATAATGTCATTTGTTATCATCCCCCAAGATGAACTGTGGTAATATAGAGAAGAGTGACTTTTTAAATATAATGATGTTTTTAGCAATTTTTTTCTGGCTTAAAAAAGCAATTCATCCCCTTCGGTAACCAAGTGGATACAATGAAGGAGGTGGGCAGCCATAGATACAGGCTTCTGCCTCACTGTTTTGGTGCTGGCTCACTGCTCCCAGGACCTCCTTGTTTCCTGGAATTTGTGTGACCTGAGCTTTTTCATGTTCTCATTGCAAATGATTTGCAATCAGGTGCAGGCTGAGAACTAAACACTGCCTCTCTTCATTCTTCTCCCCCTTCTTCATGCTAAGGGCAAGAGTTCTTGGTTTATTTTTTTCTTTGCTTTGCTTTCTGATTTCCTCCCTCCTGGAATCAGGACTCCTCAGAGGAAAATTCAGTAAGAGAAGCCCTTTAGCGATTCATCTCAAATTGTGAAAGAGGAAGAAGAAAGCAGACTCAAGTCTCCTTTGTCTGCGATTGCTCATACCCTACCAGCCAGGGCTGCCCTTGGAAACCAAAAGGCCACAACATCCCTCTGGCCCAGACCATGGCAACCGGCTCCTAATTGGTCTTCCTACTTTCCTCTCTCTTCCATAATCCTACCAGATAAATTCTCTTACAACACCAGCCTTGTAAACTCTGCTGTTATACAGCTTTGGGAATGCCACGCTGTCTACTAAAAACAACTGCTAACCTGACTGCAAGCCTATCCACATCTGTCCGCATCTTTCATTCCAAGGCTGCTCCCCTCCAGCTGCTGCCTGGAGTTAGACAGCATGTTCCCTTCTTATTAAGGCATGGGACAATTCCACAAGGCTCTAAGCCTGGATTTCCCTCGTCTCTAACTAGAAGCAATGATGCCACCACACTCCGAGATGCTAGGAGGGTCTGAGTGGGTCACAAGAGCAAAGGTGTCCATGGGCCCCTAGTGTTGACTCTCAGTGTTCTGTAATACAACTCTCCTTCCCACCTCCCCATCCTGGTCTTGCTTCACGTTTCTCTGCTCCTCTGTTTCCTAATGATTTTCCCTTACTTGCAAGAAAAGAACTTAGATCCTAGCTCTCCGTGAGATCTTCAGTGAGCACACCTGCATGCAAGGAATTAAAACTTTTTTAACTCCTTCTATACTTTAGTCACTACTCTGGGTCCTTCTCTACTAGTTTTTAGTCTACTCTGTAACAGCAAGAGTGGAAGAAGGGAAAGACCATTTGCTGGGTGCCTATGAGCAGCGGGAAACTTTACACACATTACCTTACCCTGTGCATTAGGTATTATCAATCCCATGATTAAAAATAAATGAGAAAACTCAGAAGGTAAACAACTTACAAAGGTCATAAAGGGTTGGTGGCAGAGGCTGGATTTAAACCCAAACTTGTCTGGCTCTATTGCCATGCTCATTACCCATGTCACTCTGAGTGACAAAATAGATTCCAAGGTGAAATCTCTGTTGTCGCTTTATGGTCCCATGTGTGTCCTTTCTCTCCAATTAATCAGGAAAAGACCCAGGCCTTTTACTCCCTGCATCTGTCTCACCCTACCTACCCTCCCTTAGTCAACAATAATGGTCAGAATCCAGCACCCCACTGAGAAGAGAAACAGCTACTGAGTGCTTACTCTAGTAGGGGGAACCTTAGTGTTCTGCCTGCTAGCTACGGTGCTAGTGTGGGTGTAGCAAATGCTTTGTTGACTTAGGACATTATCAGGTTACGATGGCTTTATGAGTATAGAACTTCATCGTAAATCAACAAGCATCTGTAAAGTTTGTGGCATTTTAAATTGTATTAAACTTTTAAAAATTGGGAGAAGCCGGTCATGGTGGCACGCGTGTGTAGTCCCAGCTACTCGGGAGGCTGAGGTGGGAGGATCGCTTGAGTCCAGGAGTTCTGGGCTGCAGTGCGCTATGCCGATCGGGTGTCCGCACTAAGTTCGGCATCAATATGGTGACCTCCCGGGAGCGGGGGACCACCAGGTTGCCTAAGGAGGGGTGAACCGGCCCAGGTCGGAAACGGAGCAGGTCAAAACTCCCGTGCTGATCAGTAGTGGGATCGCGCCTGTGAATAGCCGCTGTACTCCAGCCTGGGCAACATAGTGAGACCCCGTCCTCAAAAAATTGGAGGAAGAGATTTTCCTCTTCTAATGATAGAGGTATTGTTATAGACTAAACCTTTTGCCAAAGATAACTAACAAAACTGGACAAAATATTTAAATAAAGAAAAGAAACCTCTCTTAAAGATGTCAGACACCTACCAAGGCGGTGAGAAGTCTATATCCCAGAGAGTAGGGAAGACCAGAGAGGAGAGCCCAAAACTCAGTGCTATCTTTCTCCTTGAGACACAGCTGTGGCCGCAAACGGAAGCAAGAAAGGAGGCAAAGGGACCCAGAAGAGATGGCCCAAATAGAACAGAACATAAGGAAGTCAATTTGAACCTAACTGTATCATAATTACATTGACTATAAATAGGCTACTACAACTAATAGACAAAATCTATCTCCGTAATATGATGCTTATAAGAGATATATGTATTAAATATACCCATTTGAAAAGGTTGAGAGTCTAAGAATAGAAAAAAACACCATGTAAACACTAATCAAAATAAAGACATACTAATACTGGGTAATGTTGAAGTTAAGTCAAGAAAAACTATCAATCACGTTTCATGATGAAAAATGATTAATCCACTTGGAAGATTCAAAACCTACATCATTATATTCCTAGGCACATGCACCTAATAATCTAACCTCAAAAACAGTAAAGAAAAATCTGACAGAACTAAAATAGAAATAAACAACTCCACAGTCAGAGCAAGACAGTTTAATACTCTTCTGGAGTAACTTGGAAAATAAGCAGTGCAAAATCAATATAGATGTAGAAGAACTGAACAGCATGATTAATAATCCTGATCCATTTGACATAAATAGAACACCATGGCAAAACAGTGAATATGTTCTTTTTAAGCACGTGGAAAATTCACCAAAATTACCATATGTTGGGATATAACAGATTTCAACAAATTTCAAAAGACTGAAATACTTTAATGTATATTTTTGGATCAGAGTAGAATTAAGGTAGAAATCAACAACAAATATAATAATAAAATCTCCCAATGTATGGGAGTTTTGAACTGCATTTCTAAATGGCCCTTGTGGTCAAAGAAGAAATCAATAATACTACAAAATATTTTGAACCAAATGATAAAACACATTTCAAAACACAGCAGCACTGTGGCTTAGGTAGAATATATCCTGATGCATAAATTAGAGATGGAGAAATACTGAATATAAATTATCAGGTGATTAATAAGTAACATCTCAAAAGATTGTCAAGGAACAAGCTAAATGTAAAGAAAGATACAAGCAAGGGTATAATATCCTTGATCTTAGCCGGAAAGATGAGAGGTGATAGGAAAGGAATAATAAAGGTAAATCTAAAAGTTAATAAAATAGAAAGCATATGGTTGGTTATTTGAAAAGTCTATTAAAATAGACTCTCAACTCTGCTGAGAGTGTTGGTTGCTAATGGTTCACAGTACTTCTTACTTTTGGCTGACAGAAGCCATGATTCCTGAAAGGTTCACCACCCTCCTGCCCCTCACCTCCACTCCACCCTAGGAGATGCAGGAGCAAGAGGCCCCTTCAAGCCCACAGCCCCATGTGGACAGTGGGTGGTGGATCACCAAAGCCAGTCTCTACCTGAGGTGGTGCCCATATCCTGCTGTTTCCTGTCCCTATGCTACTATCTTCCTTCCACTGCAGGTCTTTTCCTCCCATGTATCTCCTCAATAATCCACACAAACCATATCCCTACCACATCCTTGGCTTTGCATCCAGGAGAATTCAATCTGAAGCTGAAACTAGAGAAACCCTAAATAATAAACACACAAATATACACATAAATAAATGGCAATACATACATAATAAATAGTAAATAAGTGTTCATGAATTACAGGGCTCAGTATTGCAAGGTATCAATTCCCCCAAATTGATGTATAGATCCAGGGTAATCCCAATCAAAGTCATAGCAATTTTCTTTGTAGAAATTGACAAGAGTATACAAAATTGTACATGAAAATGCAAAGGGTCAAGAATAGCCAGGCACTCTTGAGCAAGAACAAAACCAGAAAACTTATATAACCAATATAACCTACTATAAAGCTATAGCAATCAAGAGATTATAGTATCCATATAAGGATGGACAGATGGACAATGGACAGAAATGAGAATCTACCACCAGGAGGGTGTGTGTGTGTGTGTGTGTTTAAACACTGGAACTGCCAAGTGGTGAGGAAGGTCTATTTAATAAGTAAGTAAGGCTGGGCCAATCGGATCTCTACTTCCATACAAAAATCCAAACCTGTGAATGATAACTTGCAATGTAAAAAGCAAAACTGAGTTTCTAGAAGATAATATAGAAAAGCATCTTCATAATATTTGAGTAAACAGAGGACACAGAAGTACTGACTATAAAGAAATGTATTAGTAAACTGCTCTGCATTATATTTAGGAATGGTTTCTTTATCCTGACATACCATTAAGACAGCAAAAAGACAAAACAAAATACTAGAATGTAGATGCAATGCAAATACTTTTCTAATGACTTATATTCAAATTGATAAAAGACATGAACAAGTACTTTGTAAGAGATCAATGATATAAGGGCAAGGATATGACGCAACTGGAATTCCTGTACTTGTACTCCTAGGGCACATTCCACTGGAATTTTTGCACAGGTTAGTAGAACGAGGGTTCAAGAACATTCACAACAACAAAATTATTAGTTGTGCCAAACTGAAAGGTGTCCATAAAGAGCAGACTAGGGGGCCGGGGATTTAGCTCAGTGGTGTAGCGCCTGCCTGGCAAGCGCGAAGCCCTGGGTTCGATCCCCGGTACCAAAAAAGAAAAGTGAAAAAAAAAAAAAAAGAGCAGACTAGGTCAATTAATTGTGGTATGTTCATGTAACAAACTATTACCGCACATTCATGAAAAGAGAGCACAGCTCTCCACATCAAGAATAAAATCCCACAAATAAAATATGGGATGAAAAAAATAGAACACGACCTATAATTCTATCTATATATAAAATTCAAAAACAGACAAAACTATATTCTTTAGAAATGCACGTGCAGGTAATAACACTGTAAAGAAATACATTGATAGGACCACCATAAAAGCTAAGGATTTTGTCTAATCATCAAGGATTACATAAAATGGGGCCTAGTAGACTGGGAAGTGCTAGCACTGCTAATTTCATCACTTAGGTAACAATTACATGGGTATTCAGTTTGTAAAGATTCATTAAATCATATATTTTCATATTTTGCTAAATTTCAAAATTAATTTTTGTAAAAACTAAAAAAGATTGCATTAAATTCTTTTACACACCTACAATTTAATGATTTTGTTAGTTTTTAATTAAATACAATAGGTGCCCAACTAATGATTATATTAAAAATATTCAATTGCCTAGAACCAATTGCAAATGTTGTATTTATTACATCTTAAATTATTCAATGTTCAATTGAGTAATTTAAACATTTTTGATTATAGAGGAGATTCTTGTACTATGCCAAGCTTTAAACAATAATGGGATTTTCAAGATTATGTGATTCTGTGAACTGGGTATCTCAGAAAGCAGTGAGCTACCTTCCCCTGAAAATGGTTAAATAATTTCAGAAAGTTCTATGATAGCCTACTGTACCAAAATTCAGAAAGTAAACAGGTTAAAATACCTCCCTGATGCTTTGCAGCATCAAGTAACAATTTTAAAATTGGGGCCCTGTATCCCTCTAAAGTTCCCCTCTCTGTCTCTGTCTCTCTCTCTCTCTCTCTCTCTCTCTCTCTCTCTCTCTCTCCTCTTTCACACACACAATCTGCTACCATTTATTTGGGACTATAATATTAATAATATACACATTAGAATTTTAAAACTACAGCTTGTGGCCCAATTCTTTGTACTTTATTTTCTTGGAAAGTGTGTGTTCTCTATGTGGAATACTGTGTAATGCATTTGGCAGCTTCCTTGAATTCCTAGAAATTTCTTTGTGATAAAATCATGAAACATATATGGCTGACACTCTTGGGGCTAAAAATGATGTATAGAAGTTTATTTTCACTTTAAATATGAATAATAGTAATAAACCTCAGGCAATTCTAGCTATTAAAAATTATAAAAGATCAGAAGTACAGTTAATGAGAAAGCAAAACAATGAAAAGGGCCTTTTGCTTGTTCTTAATAAGCCATTAAATCTGTTAAAAGAAAATCCAAAAGCCATCATGTCCCCTTTCATAGTAACTGGTTAATAAATTTTGACACAAGTTAGAATAACGTAAGTATGAAACTATCAAAGGAAAGGAAAATATTTCATAAATACAGATGCATATTTGACACCTTGTGACGAAGAACCAGAGACTCACCTGTAACAAGGGGTAGCTGATACTTGCAACCCAGATGTTGCTGTATGGACATTCCAACACAATGGCATCCACTGGGCATCCTTGAAAATAATAACAAAAATACAAGAAATTAGTAACTAAAGGCCCAGGCAGGTTCAGCTGCCTTTTCCCTCAGAGCAGTTAAACTGAAAGCAGTGGTGGTGGCTGACAGATCAGAAACTAAACACAAGCCCGACATGGCAGGGCGTGCCTGTAATCCCAGTACACTGGGAGGCTGAGGCAACTTTGAGCCCAGCCTGGGCAATTTAGACTCAGATGAAATAAAAATAAAAAGGGCTGGGAATATAGCGCAGTACAGAGGCCCTGGGTTCAATCTTACCACAAAAAAGAAACAGAGAGGGGGGATTGGGAGAGAAGGAAAAAGAAGGAGAGAGGAGGGGATGGGACGGGAGAAAAGAGGAAGGGAAGAGACAGGAAGGGGAGGGGAGGGGAGGACAGAATCTTCAGTATTCTCACAGAACTAAAAGGACAGAAATTAAGAGTTCACGATCTGCCAAAGAGGAGGACCCTAGAACATTTCTCAGCCTGTTGGCTGTGACCTCAAAGGACTACACATTAGTAACAGTGTGCTAGAAATGAGCCAGTTTAAACAGTCTAAAGTCCAGCTTCAAATCAGCTCAATCTCTGCTTGGAGTGAAATGATCTATCCCTACCACAACTGCCTTTCAGGAGAAAAGTAAATTATTTCCAGAAGAGGTTTTAAATCATCCCTGCTATTTTCTATAAACATTTGCTAGCACTCAAATGAAAATACCTAGACACACAAAATTATAGCAAAGGGGTCTGAGGGTGTAGCTCAGTGGGAGTGCTTGCCTAGTATGCACAAGGCCCTTGGGTCCATCCCTAGTACCACCAGAAAAAGAAAAACAAAAAACACCTGCCTGGCAAGTGCAAGGTCCTGAGTTCGATCCTCGGTACCAATAAATAAATAAGTAAATACATAAATAAATAAAGCAGATACTGGGCCTTGGAATTTTTAAACTGGCTGGTATTAGGGTAACAAATGTTTTTACTTATCCAGCATCTTTATATATTGAGTAAATTCTAATTTTAGATCTTGAAAAAGACATGACCTGGCCCTATTCACAGAGATTCTAACCTATCAACCACCTAATGTCCAAGAAACATGCAATTTATTTATTTATTTTTATTTTTTTGGTACCAGATGTTGTGCCAAGCAAGCCGATAAATCACCAAACACTGGGACCAATGACAAAGTTAACCTGAAAGAAATTTATTCATGCGTGTGGACTCCATTCCCTAAGCGAAGTGAAGCCCTGAGTCCAGGAACAGCACAGTTTATATGGGGTGTTATAGCAGCATAGCTTTTATAGGTGTTATTTTAAGAAGAGAAGTTCAAGGGGAGGTTAACATGTTTTTGACTAGTTCTAAAGTATTTTTCACAACTCAGCTATCTCGCTGTGTCAGGTTAGGGCAATTTACAGTAAAAGGAGGCACCAGGCACTATCTCTTTCCGAGAAGCGATGAAGCTAGTTTACAGAAGCAGAACAAGCAGCTACAAAAACATCTACTTTATAAGGGGAGGGGCATGAGGGGAGTTTATCTACAGTCTAAGATGGCGTTTCTTGGGTTTATCCTGGTCTCACACCAGGGATCGAACTTGGGACCCTGTGCTTGTGAGGCAGGCAGCGGCACCACTGACCTAAATCCCAGGCCCAAAACATGTAATTTAAATAAGCATACTCAACAGATTTCAATGCAAGCTATTTTCAGGTCACTCTGACAAATACTGACACAAATATTATGTAATATTGCTATAGGAAGCAAGTCCTGCCTATCATTTCATAAAGTATTATTTATTTCCCTGACTGTCTTCCAATATTGAAGTTCACCCTAAAATTTAATATCTTCTGTGAGACTTTTCATTAATAAATAATGAAAATTAAAAAAAAATTTTTTAAAGTATTAGTTCCCTGCCCTATAATTCAAATTATTATGATTTCACAAAAGGACTCTTTTGAAGGTAAATTTAACCCTTAGTAATCATTTTTAAAAATTTTATAGCCTGGAAAAGCAGCTGTCATTTTATATTAAATTAAGAGGAATAAAGAAAGTCTGTTACTCTGCTAGAAACTATCCAACAGTGAGATGCTTTAAGTATCTGTGCCTTCAAAGCTACAAGACAGTCCCCTAGTTGTTTTTATATTCCCAGCTCAAGAAATTGTAGCATGTAAGAATTTATTACCTCTCTCTTCCAGGATTCTGGCAGCATTTGTTGCAACTCTGCAAAACAATGACAATTTGTACATAGGTGAAACTTATAGTCAAGTAGGTGAACTTAACAGTCAAGTAAATTTGACAAATCACAACATCCAGAACGAGGCTCTTTGGTTAGAAAATCCACATGCACACAGTTCTGCACAAGATTGCAAGGGGTTCCAGACACCCTAAATTAAGGACCCTTTCCCTAAAATCCTCAAAGACAGCCTGTAATCCCAGAACTTTGGGTGGCTGAGACCCGAGAATCACAAATCCAAGGCCAGACTTAGTGATTTAGCGACACTTACCCTGGCTTTAAAAAATACATTCTTGAGAGTTTCAGAATGGACTTCAGTGTCCTAGAGGTGGGAAGGTCTGATGGGACACTAAAGCCCCAGCCTCCCTCTGAAGGACACATCCTCAGCTGCACTTACCCTGTGCCCAGAGAGTGGCCCCAGAGGCACACAGGGGTGCGGCCGCTTCTCGCTTTGGCCCACTCATAGACACAGATAGAGTCCTCTGTCAGCCCCTGCTCTGTGGGCTTCCCTGTAGAGTCCCCGAACCCTGGCAGGAAGAAAAGGCAATCACAATATCACGTCCTTCAAAGCGCGGGGCCATCGAAGGCTCTGTGAGTACTGAACACCCTCTGCACACTGTTCTGAACCCCTACCTCGGTAGTCCACAGACAGGACATGAAAGCCACCGTCGCTCAGCACCTAGATAACAAAGGAGCTGTTTTCACTTCACATGATTAGAAGATGGAAACGAAAAAGCCTCCTCCACACGTCTGTGTCCCTCGCTGCGATGGTGTCATAGGTGGGGAAATGTGGTTTTGAACTCTGGTATTTGGCCTCACACTTGAGATCAGGTTCAGTCGGAGGGCAAGACACAGCCCAGCAGAGCAGGGCCAGACAGCTGGGCGGCACCCAAGCCCTGCTCTTCCGGGCCATGTGACCTTGGTCACATCATTTCACATGGAACTATGAACTTTATCTGAGAAATGAAAACAAGGTCCCTTCAGGGTTGCTGGGAGGATTACGTGGATGTGGCACCAAAGAGCCTGATTGCATGTACGGGTCTTTTTTAAGGGTTCCCTGAACTGGGGCTGGGGCTCAGTGACAACCCTTCCCCAGTGTGTGTGGGGACCCAGGGTCTGATCCCCAGCACTGAAGAGAGAAGGAGGGAGAGGAGAAGAGGGAAGAAGGAGGGGAGGAAGGAAAGGAGGGGGAGGGGAGGGAGGGAATGGCCCTGAGAATCAGAATTCTGCACAGAGTTGGAATAGAGGCAATCAGATAATGGGAAGATATTTATATTATACATGATCAGGCAAAACATTGAGTGCAGTCAAAAGTAAAGTTATTTCACTTCATATTATGGTCTCAGGGGCATCCACTTTCCTACCGATGATGCAAATGCATCCTTCTTCATAGCACAGTGGTACTCCACTGTGTGTAAACACCACACTTTCTTTATCCATTCACCTGTGGATGAGCATATAAATCAGGCACAAAAGTTTAAATACTGCATGATTTCTCTTGTATGAGAAACCCAAATTATCAATAAAGAGCAAAATAAAAGAGGTAAGAGTAAGGAGATGGATCTTTCTCAATGAGAAAGGGATCAAGAGGTGGTGGGAGACAGTGGGAGGAGGGCAAGGGGGTGCAAAGCAATGAAGCTGTTGTGTACGTACGTGCACCCACTCTAACAGGGAATGTAAGCATTATGTACTGCAGGTATGGGCTAATGAAAATAAATACATAGTCACTCATTCCAATTCGTTCCAACTCATGGTCAAGCTCCTTGTAGGTAAAGAAGGAAAGAATATGAAAGCACACCTTTACATGAAATGAATTACAATCATACACAAAAAGAAGAGACATAAAATTCGACTGTGTAGGCATTTTAAATTGAAAACTGGGGTAATATTTACCCTACAGAGCTGTTGTGAGGGTTAAACACAGTTTTTCAAGAGCCTGTACAGTAAAAGGCTGTCCCCCTCTTTTTTGTCTCTTGGTACCACAAAAATAAGTAAAATAAAATAACAAGAAAACAGCATTGGAGAATTTCAGCAACATGTCCAGAGTCACCCAGTTGCTGGAGACAGAACCGAGAGCCACCCTGGGTCTGCAGCTGTTCCCACACTGACGCGGGCAGCTAATCCGCAGGAGGGCGCTGGGACATGCACATCGACCTAACAATGACAAACTGAGTGCAACTCTTACATATCTGTCCACACTCTATTCCCTCCAAGGTTGGCCAGCGCACCTGGCAGCTAAGCACCTGGAAAATGGGAATATCCATGTGTTGTCTGAGCCTTTTGTTGAAGGACCCCTTGACCACCCAACTCAAGAATAGCAACAGATCCTAAGAACTTGCCAACTAGGAAATTCACAAATGAAGAAGAAAGAAAGAAAAAAAACCTAGATGCTTAAAGTTTTCTGTAGCAACTATTTAAAATGAATTCAGAAAAAACAAATTATTCCGACATCAGTGGAATTGTTAGGTAAACAATTATTTATAAATAAATAGAATGACATAGCCTTTAGTTCTGAGGACTTTGTAAAAACATAGAAGAATGTCTATAAAATGGTATTGAGTAAAAGTGCACAACATAAAATTATATAAAGATACAGTCATAGTGACAAGGACCTTATATAATGAGAGAAAGATCAGGGGAAAATATAAACAAATGAAAACATCTGCATTGGCTGATTGAAAGAATGGAAGGAAGAAGAAAGAAGAAAGAGGGAAGGAGGGAAAAAGAAGGGAGGAAGTAAAACCTAAGACGATTTATTTTTAAAAAGAAATCACCTAACCACAGGAGGGAAGGAAGGGGCAATGATAACACAGCCCTTGATGACCGGGATGCACCTGGGGACAGCCCTGCCATGCCAGCCACCGTCCTTCCTACACTCTGCTACCACAGGGACAAGCTGGCTGCTTTTCACAGCAGGCCTATGAGTCTGCTTTCTGGAGACATCAAGGATGTGCAATTCAGCTTTGAGAGGGAGGAGAAGGTGGCACATGGCCATGGACATCAGCCTCTCCAATCCCAAGTGGAGAGAGCGAAGAGCCAAGGGTGGGGTGCAAGGCACACTGACAAATAAGGGGAATCCTCCTCCCCAGACAAACCATGCAGCCACCATTGCTAGGCAAGGAGCGGCTCTGACCAGACAGTGATGAGGAGGGGGAGGAGACAGGAGAGGCGCTTCCGTCCATCCACACATGGTGCTAGAGACATGAGGCAGCACTGTGGGCCCCAGGGACACTGGCACATTGTCAGGCAGGGGCCCTATGTGGGAGGAGAGGCAATTCTGGGATCTGTGATGGAAAAGCCATCCAGATCAACAGGCAGCCTGCCCGACCAGTTCTGAGCCCCAGAGAGCTAAGTGGAGAGCCAGCCAGCCACCTTCCTCCTACTCAGAAATACTGGGACTATCCCAGCAAACTGGGACCATGCAGGAGCAAAGAGGAGAGCTCATGTGGCCACCAGGCTGCTCCACAAAGCTTTGTATAGGTGGAAGTCACAGTTTGAATGACTTTTAAAAGCAGACATTCTTTGTCTTTGTAACTCGGGACCTTGCACTTTCGAGGCAGGCCTCAGAACCACTGAGCTAAATCCCTGCCCCAACAATGCAGCTTCTGTTAAGAGAAAGATAATTTCCCACTTAATGTACTCCCTCCAGAAAAGTAAAAAATAAAAAAAGACTACAAGTGTCTTCAACTTCCGGAGATGAAGGGAACATGTTCATAAAAGTGTTTGGAGACTCAGAAAGTCCCATACCTATTTGGATCCCTCGTGGCCAACATCGGAAGAGAAGTCCACATGTGAGACTCTGGTCCCCAACACCACTGCCCTCCCCGACCAGGACCCCAGGACCCTATCAGGCAGGAGACCATACTGAGGACCAGGGAAGAGCTCAGGACTGTAGCCCAGGCCAGACTCAATGGAGACTTAGGAATCAGGGGCTCTGAAGCCCCTTCAAACCTACCTTTGCCAGTTTACACCTGTGAGGAGCACCCCTGTACAGGACATTAAAGGAAAAAGCAAGAATTAGGAACTGCAATGACAAATTCAATAAAAATCACTCTCAGGCTGCTAGCATCCCATCTCACCCCTTTCTTTTTTAGGTTAGAGAAATAAATAACTAAGAGAAAGGGAGATGTTCCTTGGAGGCAGAGCCAGCACCTATGTAGCTGGTGGATGGTCCATGGCTCGCCATGGCTGCATAGTATTTATGGGTCCCTGAAATATTCATGCCTCAGCCCAGATGTGGATACCCAGATGTCTCTTGAGCTTCTCAGCCTGAGCATTTGGTGAATTCCTGATAATCCATCTCCTTTCCCTTCATACAGCAAAACTTATCTCCAGGAATACTTTTAGAAGCTAAAGGGAAAGTAAGTGCCAGAAAGTAGCTTTTTCAGAAAAAAGGATGGTATAGTCAGTTGCACTGTTAAAATTTCCCTGTATCCCATCCTCACTACCATTAAGGGCCAGCTGAAGTGAAGGAGAGAGATTCATCACTCTGGAAGTACAAAACAATTCTTTCCCAAAATGATCATATTGGTCACTCCTACATTAACAAAGGAAAGTGAGTAATTCAAAAGACACTTAATTTCATTAAAAGCCATTTGAAATTTGCCTTAGAGTCAAGTGTCTTACACATTAGTGGTGGCACCTTTTGAATGTCTGGTAAAACCTTAAAACTCATTTCCCAGCGGCAAAAAATGTGCCCACCCTTTAAATTTTATATATAATTTGAGGCAGGGGGTTTATGGCCCTCCATGGCTTCCGTGGATCCCAAGTCCAGAACCACCATTCCCAATGCATTAGCAAGGCCCCTTTGGTGCTCAGTACCCAGTACTTTCAGCTCAGTACTGCTGAATGCAAGCTGAGAGCTCTGGGCAGAAGACAAAAGGAAGCTGGAACTAAGCCCAGAGCCAGCAAATCTGAGACAACTGAGAACCATTTCAGATTTACAGAGAGGCGCAGATGTGGCTGTACATCCACACGGTACTCTGAGGAACAACAGACCCAAGTTTACACTCTCAGAAAATTGTCAGAGTTCATAGACAATCCCAGGAAATGTGATTCTAAAATGAACACATCAAGAAAGCCCCTTGAGGAAAGGTAAGATTTGAAAAAGCCATCAGCTGATAGAAAAAGACAGTGAGAAAGCACAACCAAGGCAAGCTAGCCAAGAGGCTGATTCCAGAGCTTGTTGCCAAGTTTGAAGGATGTCCCCCAAGAGATGGAGAGAGATCCGTGGCTTTCTGAGTCACGCCACCCCTGCCCCAGGCTGAGGAGGAGCAGTCATGGCCGATAATCATCACCCAGTGTAATTACACAGGCCCAGGAGGCTCTGAGTGCACATCAAAGCCCAGCCAGACTTCTAGGAGACTGTCTTCATTACAAAGCAAGGTAGACACTACAGAGAGCGGGGCTGAGGCATGAATATTCCAGACTAGAACTCATTAGATGGTCCCCGTATCTGTGGTCAGAATTCCAGGTGATTTCTCTTAGGAGTCATGTTTTTTGATTAACAGAATTAATGCTAAATAAAGTGCAAAGACTACTAGTGTGGAAATTGTTTTTCTTTTTCCCCATAATGCATCCTTATCCTCTTTCCAGTCATCTGTGGCTGTCAACCTAAATAATCAGAGATTCTCTGAAGAGTGTTTGAAGAATATTCAGGGCTACTAGAGCAATGGAGTGGTAATACCTATGCCATAGTAAGCTACAGGCATACTCTAAGAGGTGGAGGCAAGGGGAAGTGTTGAAGGCAAAATAAGGATTATATAAACATTTGGAGATAATAATCCTTGGCTACAAGGAAGGTGGCAGCAGTCTGAGGTTGAACAGACTACCCTGTGCATGCCCTTGCACCTGTATTTCTTGTGTTAAGTTGCAGTGCCCTGTGTGCAAGGCTGTGGTTTCCATAGAGTCTTTGGGAATGGTTGTTATGAGGCAGAAATGTGTGAAATCTCCTCCTTCAAAACTTCACAGCTTGCTTGCTTTCATTCTAGGTTACAGCTTGACAAAAGTGAGTCTATTTCGATTCTGACAATAGGTTCAGGTCACCATTTTGGATATTCTTACAGAGTGAAGAAACCACTACCTTCTTTGAAATCAATATCCAGATTTTAGAAGAATTATTCTTTTCTCCTTCTTAGTTAAGGAACCACGTGATTCTACCTATAGAACAATCTTTTCAAGAGAAGGCTTCTGCTAGAACACCCTCCGATTGCAGCAAAGAGACAGGAGTCTGTGAAAGCTGCCGACCGAGTTGAAAGCTGAGCCCGGCCTGCGCTCTCCTGCACTGTCCCACGGTGCTGAAATGCTCTTCATCTCTTTAAAATCCAAACAGAGGCACTGACCTGTGTTGTGCACTGCCATGAAGATACACAATAATTGGGTTTCCATCCTGAAGGGCCGCTTCATACCAGCACACGCCCTTCCCCTTGGCTTCTTCTCCCCGGCAGCTGGGGACCGTATGCCTGGAGAGCAAGGCAGGGGCTTCATGCTAGGCCACAGAAGGAGGCTTCTGTCCTTGTGAGAGTCTCAGCCCTCCTTATGGTCACATATATATTTTTAAATGTTTATTTGAGTAATATATGCACAAAAATAAAAATCTAATACGACAAATTATCTTATGGGAAAAACCACTACTGCCCTGATGCATCGTACCATGCACAGAGACAACCCCTTTGAACTATTCACCATGTCAGTGCTCCTGAATTTTGGAGCCATTAAGGTTCTAAAACTACAGTTTTTCAGTCCAAGCCATTGAAATGACCCCCAAAAAAGTGGAAACAAGTAAAAGTTAATAGATTCTTGCCATCTGTTATGGTTTGGATCAAGAATGTCCTCCAAGGCCTCACGTGTCCAGAGGTGGGGCTTTGGGGGGGTGATTAGCTCACAGGGGCACTAAGCTCATCAGTGGATTAATCTGTGGATGAGTTCATGGCTGAACGTGCTATTAGAGATGGGGCCTGGCTGGAGGAGGTGGGTCACTGGGGCCATGCCTCTGAACAGTGCATCCTGTCCTCACCCCCTTCTCTGTCTGCTCTTGCCCTGCTCTCTGCTTCCCGGATGCCATGAGCTGAGCAGCTTTCCTCTATCACCCTTCTGCCATCGCATTTCTGCCCCAGAGCTAGCCAACCAGGGACTGAAACCATGAGCCAAAATAAACCTTTTCTCTTTTAGGCTGTATACGTCAGGTATTTTGTCCCAGCAACAGAAAGCTGACTGATACACCATCTGCCATTGGTTTGGCTGAAAAGACAAGCTGAAAGCAATTTAAAGGCAAACCAGCTCATGCAGGAGAAAAGACCTTTCCCATGGAGCTAAGTTATTCTACTCAAAAAAATCTAGTGAATTTGTGACATTAAACATCACTGAGCTCCAGTTCCTCCATCTTGTTAAACTAATAAATGAACCCTGAAAATGTGAATGCTGCCATAGGCCATGTCACTGAGGACTTGCAGAACCACCCAAGAGGTGACAAATCTTCAGTCCTATCAATCATTAAAGGACAGAGAAACTGGAGACTGGATAAAGAAGATGTGGGTTTTTTTATAAAATGGTGTACTACTCAGCCATAAAGAACAAGAAACTAGAGACATTTATAGCTAAATGGATGCATATTGAGGCCATACTCTTAAGTGAAATAAATAGGACACACGTGTAAATACCAAATCATTTCTCTAGTGTGAGAAACTAAAAGTGTAAATAAGGATTAAAATGATTAAAACAAATAATTGATAATTTGAAATAGGAAAAAAAGGTCCAAAGGGTTAGGGGAAGTGGGAGGGGAAGGGAAAAGGAAAGAAGGGAAAGGAAAAATTACGAGAAAAGGAAGAAATGGAAACAAAGTCTTTGTAAATAAGAAAGGGTGGAGGGGGTGGAGGGAGGACAGGGAATGGGGAAAAAATAAGAACCAAGATACATCATGTACAGGTACAAGCACCTGGTGTTAAATGTTAACGTATTGTATACCTAAAATGTACCAATAAAAGAATTTAACAACAACAACAAAAGGACAGAGAATCTGCCATTGTCCCCAGGGCCTCTGTGCTGAGAAGTAGGGACCACCACCCACTGAGGAGCTGGTGGTAATGAGCATAGCTGTCCCCCAAACCCAGGACCCATGGGGGTAAAAGCAAAGAATCAGGATTTCTAAATTCCAACACCATTAACTGAACTGTTATCTGCAGATTAGGAAGAAGCTACATGCAATTGGCTTCTCAGCAGTCAATGATCAGAGGTTTAAACGCAGAGAAATATAAAACAGGGCCCTGGAAATTTGGCAACCAAAATCAAGTAGTAGGAACAAACAGAAAAAAAAAAAAAAACCACTGAGATTAGCATGACGGAAAAAGACGATGGAATGCTCATGACTTCATTTGACGCATATTTATAGAGTGCCTGCTATGTGCCAAGAATTATGGTAATTGTTGAAAACCCACCACCAAAGTCTTGCCACCCATAGAAGCTAAGGTCTGGTAAGGAAGATGAACATTACGAAAATAATCACACCAACATTTATGCCATTTCAATAGGAAGGAATGTCCTAAGGGACAAGCACAGATGGTCACAAGAGCACTCTCTGAAAATGGGGAGTGGGGATTCCTGAAAACCATTAGCTAAAGCCAAATCAAAAGTGGAGTAGCAGTTAGACAAAAGGAGAGAATGGAAGGACCAGAGATAGGAGGAAGGAGGGGGACAGAGCGTACCCCAGAGGGCTGTGGCTTGGCGCATCAGGGGACACTGTGCCTGGAGCAGAGGGACAGTGGCAAGTGTGGTGTGGGATAAGGCAGGAGAAGTGAGTAGGGCCAGAAGCCAAGGGAAAAACCTAAAAGATTTCACACTTCAAAGCAAACTTCCTGAAAAGCAAAATCAAGCAGATCAGATTTTACCCGATGATTCCCAGGTGCCCCCGAGGAGCGCCAACCTCCACACAGAAGGTGACACAGGCTTGGTCCCCCTGCCTTCACAGCAGGGGCGCCTGGCCCTCACGCAGCCCCGTGTCCAATCGCTGCACTCACCAGACTCCGAGCATCACCCCGGGCTTGGGCTTGACGTAGAAGTTCACCGTGTGAGGGACCTTCACCTCTGGTTTCTTTAAATCCACAAGAAACGGGGCTTTGTCTGGAAAGTGAAAACCGCTGTCAACCTCAGAATCAAATTACATGCCTCTTCATCATAATCGAGAAGAAGAATTTGTCTCTGCAGGTGAACATGTTTCTAAGTTGCAAGCCAGTAAACTAGCAAAGGATTTTTATCAGGTAGGATTAGCCTGCAGAGGGGTTGCAAACAGTAAAACCAAAAGCTAAATCTTAAAATAGCACCAGTGCAGTGCCCCTAACACATGTACAGTAAAGGAGTTTACTCAAACTTTATCCTTGACTCAAGCTAAAATCGGAGGAAACCACTTCCTTCGAAAGGTAAGAGGGCTCAGAAGAAAACAACGAGTACTCTGCTACCTAACTGAAACCTGCTTGTGAGGCATAGGGTGAGAAATGTCCGAGACCAACTTTCACTGGGTGCATCTCACTAAGGGCTAAGATGGTGCTATGCTGAGTAACATAGTACTCAGGTAAAAAACAAACAAAAACACTGAAAAACAGACTCTTCCTCCTCTTTCTCCTCCTCCTCCTCCTCTTCCTTTAGGTAACGCAGGAAGAAGAGGAAGGAGAAAAGCAGAGAGTCCTGGAACCAGTCAGGTATCCAAAGGCAGCTCATTTCAAGAATGAGCTCCTAAATGGAAACCCCAGACACAAGGCCGTGTGCCTTTGCCTGTTCTCAACAGTCTGGAAGGATTCATGCTAGGATCCAGAGTGATTATTGCACAGATTCCAAACAAGTCTAACCACTATGTTAAAACTGACAAGTCTTTTTCATTATGTCAATTTCACATGCAGTAAGTTCTTTATTTGGGGAATAAAATATGTAGAAAAATTCAGGGAAGGTACATACTTACAAAAATTAAAATAAATCAGCATCTCCATCAGAGGAGGGAAAATATGTTCTTTTAATGATTTACTAGTGAAGCTGTCATACATAGCTGCAATTTTTCTTCCAAGTGCTGAACAGGAGTTTGGAAAAGATCTGCAAAACATTGGGAAACAAACAAGGTTTTCAAAATCAGTCCATATTGTGTCTTGTTTTTTTGTTTTGTTTTGGGTTTGGGGTTTTTTTCTCTTAAGGTGCAAGTCAGATTTCAGAGACTGACACTAGGCATGCCAGATACGCTGGCTTTTGCCCAGAACCCTCTGCACATGTGCATGTACTTTCTAGACTGGGCACTGAGGGGCAACCAGGTGAGGAAGGCAATATGGCAGGGCCCCCCAAGCCCCCCAAATGCCAGGGCATGGCAGAGATGGGAGGGAAGGGACAATGGCTGCAGCAGAGTCAGGCTTATCCTCTTGGTGTGGCCCCATAGAAGCCCAAGCCTGGACCCCAAAATCATCATTAAACAGGTCTTTGCCAGGGATTTAGCTCAGTGGTTCCGGTGCCTGCCGCACAAGCGCAAGGTCCTGAGTTCAACCCCCAGTACCAAACAAAACAAAACAAAACAAAACAAATCATTAAACAGGACTCAGAGTTCAATAGTCCCCAGGTTTTAAAATATCTCAGCTCAGGGCTGTATGTGTCAGCTACTGTATTATTATTATGATCTAGGGCACCAAGTGAATGAATATTAGATGTCTCTTCCGGCTGGGTCTTAGGAAGAAATAAGCCAGTGGAAGAAGAGCCCACCAGGTCTGAGGTGATTTCCTGGAGAGGGGGGCGTGTGAGGAGTAGGAGGACCAGGGTCTTTGGGAGGACAGAGCCTGGTAGGGAATGAGATGGGAGGGCAGGGGATGTAGCTCAGTGGTTTTGCCGCCTGCCTCGAAAGCGCAAGGTCTGGAGTTTGATCCCTGGTACCAAAATAAAAAAAAAACTTCCTCGAGAATGAGAGATGGGGCCGAGTGCTTCTTGCTTATGTTGCTCCTTCCTGTGACACAAACCACCCCAGCAGGAGCCACCAACAGGCAGGGAATGATCTGTCCACTAGGGCTCACTAGTGCCACCTCTGTGTTGAACCACACCTCCCATGAAAGCCAAGAACGTCATCTACCTTTGATAGGCGAGAAACACAGCAGGTCGAAGTTGTCATCTCTGGCTTTTAGTTTTTGCCTATATCATCTCTTAAATAAAGCCTTCTCCCTATTGTAACTGGGCGATGTGAAGGCTGCTTGATGTAATCAAACTGTGATGTTGAGGGTCGGAAAGCATTTAGTTTCCTCCTGCCCTGATTTTTCTGCTAGATCAGAGGCATTTTAGGAGATAACTCTGCTTACCTCTGCTTTGTAGAAGAGGCTTCTGAAAAGTTAAGAATCCTTCCCAAGGTCACAAGCCAATAGGGAGCCACACACATCCCAGTTTGGCTGAGCCCAGAGTCCCCCCCAGTGAGCTGTCCCGGTCCTGCTGGGTTCTCCTTGCCATCCATGTAAGCAGAGTAAACCCCAAGAACAAAGCTGGCCTCTGGGGAAATCCTGCTCTTGAGAGTCTTATTTTAGGGTCCCCTCTTCTTCTGTGCCCTTGCCCTCTCTTGGGGTCCCTTCCTGCCCTCTATCTTCTTTCCCCTCTGATAACAGTCATCAAACAAAGACCCCTGAGAAAATATTTCTCCCTCAAGTGTTGATGACTGAAAAATAAGAGCACTTATATGTGTCTGAAAGAGGCATGAAGGGAGAAGATGATGAATCTCCGATGGTTTCACAGCAGTTTTGTAAGAAATGGAAAAAACGTGTGGGCTCAGGGTGATGACTGGCTCCTCAGATCCATCACACTTGGGGAATTACCTTCACACAAGATCAGCAAGGAAGAAGTGAAGATGATTGTTTGATAATGCTTTAAAATAGCCCCATGAAGGCAGCAGGATGGAGAGCACATTGTTGTTCTGATTTTAGAAATAAGAAATCCAAACCAGAGAAGCCTCTTTGAGCCACAGACGAGCCAGCGCGGGCAGAAGCCAGCACAAGCTTGCACTGCTGTCTCTCCTCTGGGTGGTGCCGCCTGCTTTCTTCCTCTGGATTCCTTGCTCTCACTCTACCCTGCCTGTTATCCCCCACTAAATTAGCTTTTGAAGGTAGGCAGGGTAGCCTCCCTCTAAGCTAGCTTTTGAAGGTCTGCTTGGGAAGCAGAGGCAGTAGAGGGGGATATGTTTCTTTTTTAAGGAATAATTCATACAGGCCCCTTCTCTCAAATAGCTCCAGGCGCTTGTGCAGGACGCACTGCGGGAAGAGAACAGAGTGGCCAGATCTCTGGGAGAATCAATAATGCAAAGGCACTTCTTTTAACTAGGGGGCTGTCAATTCGCCTCCCCCTAGAGAAGTGGGGATCAAAAGTCACCGGTGGCTAATAGAGCTTATTTGAGCAGTGGATGCAATTTCAGCTCAATCCCTGCTTCCGGCCAACCACATCAAACAGCCCTGGGAGCTTTGTGTCCTCCTCTGTCCTTTGATCAGTGGCAGCTGTACCGGCTGAGTGTCCCACAGGGCCACATAGCCTAACCGGATGGTGAATCTCGGTTGGAGGCTGAGCTGACAGGTGAATCATTCTGCTCAGAGGTATCTACATTTGGGGAGCCCAGGCAGAATCCCATTAGGCCAGATAACTATTCCAAATATTAGGACATCCAGCACATCTGACCCACGTGCTGATTCATGCAGCCAACATGTATGGATCACCAGCTCCACCCTTGAGACCAAATCTCTCTCCTCCCTCACACCCACTCGAGTGGGTCTTCCTGGTCAAAGCTTTTCTACACAGATCTGACCATGGCAACCTTCTCTTTCCACCACTAATTCCAACAGGGATCTCGTTTGACCCTTCCTAGCTCCCTGATAGTTTCCCCATCGTGCCAGGCCCCCGGCACAGGACCCACGTGGTAGACAAGGACGCTTTTACATCCCACAGTGCAGCACAGGACCCAGCTCAAAATTACCTGCTGACCACCAGGCAAGGCTGAGGACTAAAGAAAAGTGTTTCTTTTACAAGGGAGAAGGGAGCCATGCTTCTTGGTAGCTTTGGGGAAGGGAAGGAGGGCTTCATTCTTTTATTCATTTTGTTTAAATTACAACTGAAAATGAATCAATGTGAGCTCCACAGGAGTGGAAATTTTTGCCTGTTTCATTTAGTCCCGCAAACCCAGGCCCTAGGCTGAGGAACGAGTTTATCAGCCCTCTCATGGGGATCTCCTAAGAAGAATTTAGAAATGTCATGACTTGAGGTGACACAGGGGAAAACAAGGAAGAAAATAGCCCTTGGCTCCCCCAACTCCTTTCCTGAGAATGTTTTTTTTAATTAATTAAGTTTATTGGCACATCTTAGGTATACATAATGATCAAATTCATCATGGGGAATTTGTACCTGTAGGAAAGCATTTGCAAATGGAGACTTTACATACTCTCATGGGTCCATCTACCCTACGAAGCAACTGTGTCTGATGAAGTTTTTGTAAAATACATAGATTACCAAGGCACTAAAACATGATGACAAAAAGTCTCATGTGATTGGGCGTCTCCTTGAGCCTCTCAAATCCTCACGATAGACCCCGCACTGTGAGCAGTGTCTGGCACACAGCGAGCCCTCCAAGGGTGTGCGTTGATCCAAACTCACTGGGCCCCAAGAACTGAAAGGATTCTGGACCCTGGACATGGGTCTGTGCCTCAGCCTTATTACAGCTTTTGTTAGAAATGCACTCCTGTTTTATTCTTTCAGGACTTTTTTTCCATTAATTAGAAAGGCAAGTAGCAGAGGGTTCCCCAGCTCCCATTCCATTAGTAACAAAGTGGGTTGTTCTCTAAAAGCTTGAACTACAGCTTTGATTCTCTGCCTAATAAATGATCTTTCCTGCTAAATGAATGTTAAATAATCAGTCATTAGCTCTGTACAGAACACAAGAGAGAAGAAGGGAGGAAAGGAGAGAGAGAGAGAGAGGAAGATGTTAACTTTCCCTGAACAACCATATTGGGGGAAAAGGCCTGTGCATGTGAAGTTTGAAAAGTACAGAGAAGAAAATCCGATGGATGCTCAGATCCAACCCAGAAGGTGTCCATGGGTTCTACAGGACCTGACCAGAGTGGAGTTGCTCTCTGACCTCTGACCTCTGACCTCTGCAGAAAGCCAGGGAAGGAACAGAACAGGGAAGACCTCCGTTGGTCATCATGGCTGTGGCCACTGCAACGGGAAATCTCCTGCGCCTGGATAAGATACTGGAATGTTTTGTAACCAGCACAAATCAAAAACTAATAGAAAGAAGTATAAACAAAACTGCCAATACCGTCCCACAGGAACAAAACAAAAGGAGGCCCCTGGGACCAGGGTCTCCAACCAATCCCTGGCTTCATTGCAAAACAAGACTGGGAGTATGTCCCTAGTCAGTTGAGGTAATTTAAGATGACATTACTCAAATCAATGATTAATGGGAGGAAAAAGGTTTTTTTTTAAGAAAAAAACTCTGGTATACATATATTTCCAGATTTAAATAATTTTACAACTTGTGAGGTCTTTTTACGATCTCAATGTGCTATACAGCTTTAGCATCTGGAGATATGTTCTTTTTTATAATTTTTATTTTTATTTCTACATGTTTGCAGTACTTGGAAGAGGCCTACATATCTATCAACAGAAGAATGGGCACACAAATGTATTTATTACACACAATGGAGTACTACTGTGCCACAAAGAAGGATAAACTTGAGTCATTTGTAGGAAAATGGATGCACTTTGCGACCATAATGCTAAGTGAAATAAATCAGACACACAAACTTAATTATTCCACAGTTTCTCTTACACGAGAAACCCAAAGTATAAATATATTAAAGAGCAAAATAAAAGATGGATAATAGGAAACAGGGAGACAGATCTTTAGCAAATGGAAAAGAGGCCAAGACATGGAGGGAGGTGGGAGAGAGGGGAGGAGGGAAGAAAAGAGAATTGAGATGTGTTGTGTACACGCACCAACTCCCCACGAGGACTGTGACCGTCACGTACTGCAGACATGGACTAATAAAACTTAAAGATGTTAAAAGACTTAGCTATTATGAATTGTGCTGCTATAAACGTGGGAGATGGGTTCTTTAAATGCATGCCCGCGAGTCCACGCGGGGGAGCTGGACAGTGACTCTCACCTTTTCCTGCTGACAGCATTGGCCCTGACCCAGAAAGACCCCGCTCAAGATGACAGTGTATTACCGCCAAGATTACCAGCAAGATCTAATCCTCTCTATACCTTAGAAAATGGTCGGATTGGAGCAGGAAGCTGAGTCATCCCTCCCGCTGGACTCTATTTCAGAAGCCCCAGCGGTACAAGGTCTAAGCTCGCGAGGACTCGAAGCTGCGCGTTTGCCGGCCCAAGCGGAGGTTGAGACCTTCGGGCGCTGCCGGCCCAGGGCCCGGGAGCCACAGCGCCGCCGGCCTGAGGAGGGCTGGGTCCCGCTGCTCCCTGGTCCGCCCAGTCCCGGAGCCCCGGGCGCGGTACTCACTGCAGGTTCCTCCGCACCATGTCCCACCAGGCGGCCACGGAGTCGTAGGCTGGGGGCCCGGAGCCCGCGGCCGCCCCGCACTCCTGGGCGTCCATCGCGCTGTGCCCAGCTGCCGCCTCCGACCGGTGGCCTCGGCCCCGTCCGCCCCGCCCGCCCCGCCGAGCTGTGCAGCCCCGGGGCGGCTCCTCCTGCGCCCACAGGGGTGGAACCGCAGCGAAGGGCGCTGGGCGGATACCTGTGCAGGTGTGCTTCCCGTGGGCATCATGCTAAGCGCGATGGAAGTGCTCCGCGCGGTGAACGCTTAAATTTTAAGAAGCAGTGTTTTGCCGTAAAGGCGCGTTGCCATGAATCCCCGGGAAATACCCCCCTGACTTCGGACACATCGTTCTTGCCACTTTCTGAAACAGTCCTGAAAGTCCTCTCTCTCGAGTGTCTTACCGGCTATGATCAAAAACACGGTGACGGCTGCTGCCTGGTGCCATCCGGTGAAAGGCAGGTTCGTAGGAAATTACAGTGTGTCCCCGTCCACCTCATTCACCGGATCTGACACCGTGACTCTTCTAGCTCTTCCCCGGGGTCAAAATGAGCTTGGAAAGCACACGGTGGGAATGGTTCAGGACACTGAGGCAGCAGGGACTGCCCAATAAAGACACTGAGAAAAACTATCGGGGAACTGCTTCAGAAAGTGGCAAGAACAGTGGGATAAGTGTGTCTGAAGCAAGCAGAAGTGTTCGGAGGGGAATTAGTGGCAATGTGTCTTTTGCTGTGATAACTTTTTTTTTTTTTTTTTTGGTATCAGGGATCGAACTCAGGACCTTGCGCTTACGAGGCAAGTGGCGGTACCACTGAGCTACATCCCTGGCCCTGTGATAACTTTTTTAAATTAAACATTTGCCATATTTTCCATCACACATTATATAACCAGGTGAGCAAGCAAGGTCTGCGTGAAGCAAAATACATTGTTTTTAATCTTAGCGGGACTAAAGCAAGTTTGCCAACCACAGCTTTACAAGATCTCCGTGTCATTATTGTAGCAAGGATTCGTCCCTTGGCTGAGCAATGGTCAGGCTGTCCCTGGGGTTATCAATTACTCCATGTATGCAGTATTAAAAATGTTTTGGTGTTTTGTGTATTTAGCAGCACATTACGAACCACCTCGCTCTACAACAGAGTTCACACCTTGAAGTGCCTGTATCTGCTGCAGGTTTGCTTTGCACAGCTGTCTCCCAGGAGCAGGAACCATGTAGAGCTGCTCCAGGGAGCGGCCAGCACACATGGGGGATGAGGACGAAGAGGGTGCACTTTGATGCCAGCATCAAAGCTTCATCTCAGAGCACGGTGCGATCTCGCTACAGGTGGAAGGTGGGATTCCTGGTTCCTCTCCTGGTTTCCTGGTTTGGGCTTTGGTGCCTGCCTGGACCAACGGCACAGCAGGGCACTGCCAGCCCCCAGAAAGTGTCTGAGGAGCCATCTGTTCAGGGCTATAGGACAGTCTGGAGGAAAAGATGCACACTTTTCAAGAAGGGACAGTTCTCTTTGAGGTCTAAACCACTGCATAGAACTGGCCAGGCACCAGGAGATTTTGTTCACTGTGGGGCTACACCCCACAAGATAAGAAAGGTCAGAGCTGGCCATGAAGATGGCCTGGAATCTCCTAGAACTCCTTCAAGGAAGCTCGGGTTGAGACCCAGGCCTGGAGTCCAGGCCATGCCTTTGGAGGCAGAGGGACGTGGCCCCTGATTCTATTGCTGTCTGTTTGCTCAGGGTAACAGAGTAGAGGCCTATCTGCTAGTGGAGCAAGGATAATGTCACCAAAGTGCTAGGACAGAGGACTAGTGGGTTTGGGGATCTTAACACAGCATGATCAGCCACTCGTCCCAAAGAACCAAATATAAAAATTGGTGGTAACACAGGAAGAGTTTATTCTCCCTAGCATTGCATGGTAAGACAGATGTCCATGCTGTCTTCAGAGTACTAAAAACAAGTCCAGGGTTATACAGGGAGGACTAAAAGCAAGAGTGGAGGGCTGGCATGGCTGGTGATCCTGCTCAGGCTGCTCGTTACCCTGGGACTGGTCACACAGAGTCCCTGCTGCTTAGGAGGCAGTTTTGATTTGTCACAGGATGTTTATCTATCAGACCTGTGATCTGGAATTCAAGATAAACTGAGGGAAAGAATAACTCACCGAAGACAGGCAAGAGAAAAAAAGAAAAAAAATGGAGTCTGGGTCAATGATTGCATTCTCCTTCAAAAGTTATTTGCCCAAATCCAATTTCCAGGGAAATGTTTGAGAAGAGCAGCAGCAAAATCTCTGAAGTTGAAAATCACTCCATCCCATTTTTTAGAAGGTTGAATAGATAATTGAGGCTCTGGATAAAGCTTTTCCCACTGTAAGAAGCCTCTTCCTGAAGGCCACATGGCGGAAATCCAAGAGGAGAGTCTCCAATGATTTGGTAGAACCTTAAACACAAAAGACTCATTCATTAATTCAGCACCTACAAACTAAATACCTTTTAAGTCCCGGGTACCACCTTGGGCACTGTGGGATACAAACCAGGATCTCACTCAGTGGAGACTTATCTTAGAAGGAACATGAAAACATAGCAGAGAAATTGAAAAGTGCCCTAAGCACAGAAATCAGATTAGGGAGTGCTAGGGACAGGAGTGAGTGGGAGGGATGGCTGGGAAGGGGTACCGGGACATCTTAGGATGATGGAAACAGCTTATATTATGGTTTTGGTTATGTGACTATAGATGTTCAACAAACTCAAACCTTTCAAGGGTGATTTGACTGAACGTAAATTATACCTTAACAAAGCTGACTTTATCTACTATCTATTGATTGGTTGATTGATTGGTGCTAGGGATCAAATCCAGGGTTTTGCATGAGCCAGGCAAGTGCATGAGCTATATCCTCAGACCAAACCCAACTTTTAGAAAGGTGATCTAAGAACTACACAGATATGTACATAAATTAACATATCCTCTGTCACATTGTATAAATGTTAAGACAATGCTGCTGGTTCAAGTACATCAGAAAGCAATAGTTGGATTCACAATTGGAGATAGGTTAATTTTGCCACATAAGATTATTCTAAAATAAAAGAAATAGGGGATAAAGTTAACTGTGTCTCAGGACTGTGTAACCTACTGCCTCCATTTTCCTTTGTTCTGTTATTCACCCTCTCTGAGCTTTTCATGCCCACATAAAGAAATGTTTTAAAAATCTGATGCTGTTGAGATTGAAATGAAACATTAAAGAGAAGTTTGAAGATACACTGTAATCCTAGAAGATATGGACTGTGTGAAGTAACCAACCCACTCATCTCTCTTTATTTTGCTCTTTAGTTTATTTATATTTTGGGTTTCCCAAATAAAGGAACTATGCAATATTTAACCCTCTGCGTGTGATTAATTTCACTTAGAAAATTTCTTTTTCTATGTTGTGGTTTCATGCTGTCTTTGCCTGTATCAGATCTAATTGAAGATCATTTACTACAGTTACCAGAGTGCATGTTGGGTTGTTTTAGTACACTTGCTTGTTGTTGGGAGTGTTAATCTGGGTTTGTATTCTTAGCTAACAGAGTGATTTCTTTGAGAAGAACTAGTGATAACTCAAGTCATGGCTTCCTTTCAGTTGAAACTGGAAGTATTTGAGAGCTCTCGGTCTTCCTTCCCAAGAGTTCCCCACATGCCAAGATGTGGCTGCTGGTCCTTCTTGCTGATCCCTGGTAAGAGGTGAACTTGGTCACCCTTACCCAGAGGAAGGGACTGAGCCAGGCGTAAAGTGGGGGTTACGGTTCCCTCCCTCCTCTCTGCGTGCTCCTTTGCAAAGGCCCCTACTCCTTAGCAGTTAGCTGTTCTGGGCCTTGCAGGTAGCTCTGCAGTAGAGCAGCTGCTTAGCATGCACAGGCCCTGGGTTGAATCCCCAGCACCAAAAAGAAAATGTCATTCTCCAGGGTGCCTTCCTAGCTCTGTTTGTCTTCTTCTGTTATCTATACCAGGATTTCCAAAACTATGTTCCATCAGTTGGGAAGCAGTGGAGTGAGCACTGTAAGATATATGAGTATTGCTGGTTGCACTGTTGCAGATGTGTCTTTTTGACTCTGTCCATGTCTTTTTGACTTTGGAGAAGAGACAGAAGTCACACGGGGCTAGATTCGGTGAATAAGGTGGATGGGGAATGAACCACACACTGTGAGGTTTTTACAAGCCTACCTCTCCTCTGGATGGCACTCAGCAGCAGCATTCACCATATTTGTAATCACACCTGATAAAGACACTAAAGAGGACTTCCAGACCTGCTTCGAAAAGTGGCAAGAATGATATGCCTGTTCAAATCAAGCAGGAGTATTTTGAGTGGGATTAATGACAATGTGTCTTTTACTAAACGATCTCCATATATTTCAATCATCCCTTATATTCCTTTGGCCACAATTTCATGTCTCAGCCTTTACTTGACTGATCTTCTTCGAGAATCACCAAGAGGGAATTATTGAATGCTGCATTTGCTAAATTCGCTCATCCTTCCTCCAAACCCGTTCCACCTTTGGGATCCTCTGTCTTGAAAAACTCCATCATTGTACTGCAAGTTTCCCAAACCACACACTTGTATTCATCTTGAGTCTTGTGTTTCCTTTTAAGCTGACACCCTCTCTAGATAGAACAGGATTATGCCTTGATATGATATTTATTTGACAAATATTCACAGAACACATTTTATACAATATCTGGCTTTGGAAGCCTCTATTCCAATTGCACCCATAGGACCTATGCACATGGAAATCTAAGAAACAACCTGACAGTGTCACTAGATAACAAATATAGGGTCAGTGATTTAGCTCAGTGGTTCCGCCTCCTGCCTGGAAAGCTCGATCCCCAGTACCAAAAAACAAAAAAACAAAAAAACAAAACCCAAATATGTATTACAAATAATGTATATCTCCACTGGCTCACTAGGAAATTTCTTTGTGGTCTGAAGAGGTCAGGCAAGGATTGCATCAGGAGATATTATTCTTTTGCTTAGGAGCAGCCACAGAAGTAGAAGATAATTTAGCATGACTTTCGAAAGAGCCTCATAGAATGTTAAAACTGGAAGATACATGTATAAGCAGCCATTTACTCTCCTTTTACATAGAGAAAACTGATACTCACACAGAAGAAG